CTCGACTGATCAATTTGCTCTTCCTGGTCTACAGCGAGCCGCGCTTCCTCTTCTTCGCGCATGGCTCGTCTCTTCTCGCCACCACACATGTCGAACATAGGTGGAGTGTCATTCGTCTCGGTTGAATCACAACCAGCGAAGTTGAAAGGACAGGCTTCCATGGCCTTTAGAAGTGCTTTGAGAATGTTTTCCGGAATGCCAACCTGTTTGGGTTGCTCGACTACCGGGCTTGGGGGGCTTTCAGATTGCGAGGAAATGGACGGTGCTGAAGACTCTTCAGCGGGTGATTCGTCGATGGCCTCCGGCACAGCTTCAGCTGTGACAGGGAGTGACGTCGAGATCGCAGGACTCGGAGCCGCGCCACTAGTAGCATGACTTCCTCTACGACTGCGCTGAGGGTTACGGGCCCAATTCGCAGAGGAAGGCAGAGCAGACCCATCGCCCCCGTTTTCTGATTCATCCTTACTCGAGGAGCGAGCCATTGGTTGAGCAACAGGTGCGGCAGCGGGTGTTGGGCCGGGCGGAGGGCCAGGAGCGGGCGTCGATTGCTGGCGAGAGGCGGATCGGGACGAGCTGCCATTTGGTGGCAGAGGGCGTTGGGTGTTGATGCTGTTCATCGAGGACAAGTCCTGGCGAGTATAACTGTCTTCTTCCTCTCCCAGCTCATGAAGAAACATGCACTGTCGATTCGTGCATTGCTCGTGTCTCAACCATGCGGAACAGTACTTGGTTGTGCCAAGTTGGGCCCTCAGCACCCTGTCGCCATTCTGAGAACCGTTGACGGCCTGGATGCATCGCTGAGCGTCCTCCTTCTTCTCGAAAGTGACGTAGATGCCGAGAGATTGGTTGTGACCGTCCGAACTCTTTCGATTGCTGATCGAAATCTTCTGGATGTTGCCGTATTGACCGAAGAAGTCGGGTTTCCTGAGTGTCTTGAGAAGCTCATCCTCTCGAACCGTTGGTGTCAACCCCGTCACGTAAACGAGGTTCTTCTGAACGACCCGTACACCGACGAGGTTTTTCCGATTCTCTTTCTCAGCTTCGCGCTTCTGTACCTCCTTCTGCCGCTGGTCGAGTGCTCGTTTCTTCTGGTTCTTCCGGATATTCGCACTGAACTCGGCAACCCTGTGAATTTGTCAGCTTGGCCATTAGCACACGGCAGCGTGTCCCCAACATACTCTTCTGGTGTCACGACTTTCCACTCTATCGTCTTTTCGTCATACGGTCTTCGGCACGCAGGACAGAGTCCGTTCATGTTGTTCTTGATGTTGTTGAAGCAGAACTGGCAGACCTGATCACCCACAAAGGTTAGTCACCCTGAGAGGTTTCGCCACGACAGCGCGAGATGCGAATACGTACCTGATAGCCACATGGACATGGTCGGAAGCTACGATCGGAAAGATCGAGTTCTTCTATGCAGAGCGGACTGTTGAAATTTAGCAACGAATTCGTTATCGGGTGTCTATTGCAGCCCGAGCCAGTGTCATGCACGATGACACCCTCGCATTGTAGCTAGGGCCTTGACGCGAGGTAGGCTTACCAGTTGTCCTCATCCTCCTCAAAGAACACATCTTGGGGTGCCATTTTGTTGTGTGATCGCGTAAATGATGCGCGCGGAGTGTGGGAGGGAGGTATAGGGGGTGGATGTCGGGAAGGGTGATTGACGGGAATCTGTAGAGGGAAGTTGTTCGAATGAAGATGGAAAGCGCCAAAGCCTTTCCATGGGTCTGCAAAGGGAGCCAGTCAACTCAGGGACTAGCATACAAATCACGTGACATGTTTGGAAGCGCTAGAGCAACCCTCCCCGTGTCATCTGGTCTCCCGTTCTCGGAATCAACGAACACGAGAGAGTAGTGATCAAGAGCCAAAGAAGAAGGGCTACATACCATATTTTGTGTTTAATGATGTCTATCAGTACCGTTTCTCTCAGCATCAGCGACTTTTACTGGGATAGTTGCTACTGAAGATTGCGCACAGGTCAAAGATGAGAGAGCCAGCACAGCGAATCGCGAGCGAGCAAATAAGCAGGCTCCTTAGATACACCCCGTAGTACCACTAGTGGCTCGCCAGCTCCAAATTCCCAGTCCATTACCACGGCATAACCATCCTGACAACCTCTCTTCAGACATCGCCAAACTGCACGCAATCATCCACCACCACAATGGCGACCAAGCTGTACCGGAGCCGTGCCCTAGCCGGCCTGCGACAAGGCCGTGTCGCTGAGGCGCGCGCTTTCTCGACCTCCATCCCTCAATTGGTCGGCTACCCCGTCGGCCAGCCAAAGGATGCTCAAAACGTTCGCTCAGCCGCCCGCCAGGAGGCTCCCTCGCCTCTCACGGCGCCCGTCGTCAACCCCGCCGACAAGTACGCCACCAAGAGCGACAACTTGCACAAGTATGGCGCCTGGGTCATGGGTTGCCTGCCGAAATACGTCCAGCAATTCTCCGTCTGGAAGGACGAGCTCACCATTTACATCCCCCCCTCGGGCGTCATTCCCGTTATTTCTTTCCTGAAGTGTATGTGCATCTATCAGTCGTTCTGTGACCGCCGATAGGGAAGCTAATTGAGCCAAGACAACACCTCTGCCGAGTTCACGCAGGTTAGCACCGTCACGGCCGTCGATTACCCCACGCGCGACCAGCGATTCGAGATTATCTACAACCTTCTCAGCGTTCGCTACAACTCCCGAATCCGCGTCAAGACTTACGCCGATGAGGTTTCTCCCGTGCCCAGCATCACTGGCCTCTTTGACGGAGCCAACTGGTACGAGCGCGAGGCCTACGATCTTTTTGGAATCTTCTTTGTCGGCCACCCCGATCTCCGCCGTATCATGACCGACTACGGCTTTGAGGGCCACCCCCTTCGCAAGGATTTCCCCCTCACTGGCTACACCGAGATCAGGTTCGACGAGGAGAAGAAGCGCATCGTCACTGAGCCTCTCGAGCTGACCCAGGCTTTCCGCAATTTTGAGGGTGGCACCAGCGCCTGGGAACAGATTGGTCCCGGCGACGATCGCAGGCCCGAGAGCTTCAAGCTGCCAACGCCAAAGCCCGAGGAGGAGCCGAAGAAATAGAGTGGGGTTGCAGTGTATATACCGAACTGACCTCATTGCTAGAATTGAACTTTGTACAACTACAGATTCTCCAGTTGGGTTGGACTTTCTCGTGATGTATTGTTTTCGGGGCAGGCCTTGCTCGTGATATAGTTGTCTGAGGCTGCGTGACACTGTGGCTACTATGGTATCACCAGACTGTGCCTCGTGAGCCTTGTGATCCTGTTGTCCACGGATCAACCTGGAAACGCTCGGCTTGGTTTTAGAATGAAGTCCAAAACTACCTACAGTGCAGACCGGTGATGCCTCATTGGTAATCTCGATAGAGGCATCGACGCATCTCTTGGCATCTGTTTTGCTGCGTCTCGCCCCAGAAAGTACACGTAAGTAGCAAAATGAAACAGCTCTGAGGCTGGGTTGACAACCGAGTCTGTACTTCTACACATTGTCAGCCCATGTGCAGGTTATGACCCGTGGACACCGATTTGCACATGGCTAATGTCTGCAGAAGGAGCATTTTGGGTTCTTCCAGTCCCCCAACTCCGAGGACAGTCGGGGCTTTCTCATTAAGGAAAGGCTCCATTTGGTCATGAGCAGAGAACGTTCACTCATTGATCAACTTCACGGACTGCAGGCGGTCCTATATTGCTGATTTGAAGGCAGAGATATTAGAATAGCCTGACGAAGTGCCTGCTTTCAATCGATCACAATTCTACAGCTACAGTCTCTTCATGTGCCCTCAACTCGTAGGGAAGGCGATTGTCCGCTCGGAAACGCGATTGTCGGACAAGGAAAACTCAAGATATCTACCACGCTGTTGATGCCTCCTTCTATATAGCTTCAGTCCCTGGTTCTCACTTCATAGTCGACTTTTACCCGGCGGTTTGAAACAGCGAAGAGCTTCCTTGCCCTTGCCGCCATAGTTTCGTGTCTTCAGGTTTTTTCTAGGTTTTATACGCAATCCACGGTTGTCCGACGCAAAGATAACGGGTTCTATAGAGGACCTTAGGCTCCGGGTCCCATTTCAATACGATGTGGCGAAACGAAATGCTTTGAATATTATTCTGTATCGACTTCGCATTGATGCGAAAGTGTCAGCGCTCGATGATCTTTGCTCATTCGGTAAGCAGGAACTTTAGAGACCCATGGCATCATGATAATACTACGACGAGCACTAGAGACTTCCGACAGCGAATTAGTAGGGAATCTCAGTCTATGACAACATAGCAATGTAATCAGTATCTTGGGTTCACAACATCACGACCATGATAGCTTAGGCTGACATGACGTGAAGACGGACTGCCCTGGTGGTGCTTCTGAGTTAGAATGCTATCTATGAAGTCATCTGATCAAAATGTACCGTAGGCTTTAATACGAGATTGTGGTACTATCACGGAAAATGACCCTGAATAAAGCAGAGGACTTGCATGAGATGTTTCTTTTACGTTCCTTCAGTTCGCAGGTTCCAGCCAAGATATTTGCTTGCAACCACCTCACTATAACCTTCGTTGCTGAAAATGCGTATGTGGCATTCATGCATGGCTCATGCAAAATTGAGCTATAAAATTCGAGCCACGTAAGTCTCAGTGTGGTGCATAATCAGCCCGGAAATTCGTGTCTAGAATCTTACTGTTGGCGTGCTGTCCATGGCCCTGGGAGCGCTGTAGTCAGTGAATGCTGGAAGCGGACGCTGGGGTTAGCGGGGTTACGTCACGAGTCCCCGCCGCAACCGCGTCGTATCTCAGAGCGCCTGCAGCTTAACGCGAAACGCGACTGGCTGCTCCGAAACCACGTTCACCAATGTCACCGTCGCTGACGGTGTGCCAACTGACGCACTTTCACTGGGACTCGAATTTGTTGGAAGTGGAAAACAATACACAATGGCGCCAAAAACACGATCTGGAGGACAGCCCGACAGCGAACGCGTCTACCACTCGAGTCCCGCGTTGAAGCAGACCAAGTTCCCCCACAAACGCACCACAATCCGAGGCTACGGCCAAAGACCCAAGAACCTACGACGAAAGATCGCGGCCCGCGACTCCTCCCCAGCCGACATAGAAGAAGAGATTGAGACGAACGCCAAGTCGCCGAAGCAGAGCACTCTCACGCAGTTCAACTGGGTTGACCGCGGCCCAATCGAAGATGACGACGAGCCAGAACGCCCCAGAGGCAAGAAGAGACGCAAGACGGAAGGCGATGCGCCCAACTCTTCACCGCCACGTTCTACTTTCCACACACAAACCCTGACCCAAGCATACCCGGGACTATCATTCTCTAGCAAGGACGAGGACCCAAGCGAATTGCAGATCGACGACTCCGAGGATGAGAACCTCAGCTTCGTCTTTGAAGATGCAAGCGAGAGCGCAGGCAAGCCCGGCGTGGACCAGCCCGTTGCCAGCCGGACGCCCTCTGTAGTACCGCAGACCCCCCAAAACAAGCGTATTCACAGGGAAGTGATCCCGTCGTCACAGGATTCCCCCCTCACGCCCATGTTGGCTAGATATAGCCCTGCAAATAAGCGATCACCGCTTAAACATAAGTCTACCAACGTCATGGCGCCTCTCCCCGAAGTTTCCGAGCCGCCAAAGCTCCCTCGTCCTCGAAACATGGTCGTAGAAGACTCGACGGTCACCAAAAGTCCAACATCTTCAAGTATCGACCCATCTCCGGGAAAGGAGAACCGAGATCCCCTCACAGTTCACGCCGCGACTGCAAAGGCTGTCCGATTTGTCACGCCCCGACCATCGCAGCTTATGCGTCCACCGCAAAGCCGAGTACTGGGAGAGATCAGCATCCCGGAGGACGAAGCGTCCGAAGAAAATGTTGAGCGGGACGTCAGCCCATCCCCTCTGCGACGCAAATCAACACCAAAGTCATGGGAGCGTGAGATTGCAGATTCTGAAGACGAGTTCGACGAGCTGGGGGAGACTGATCTGATGGAGGACGAAGACGAATATGGCGCAGTAGGGCACGAAACGCAGATGCTTGTCGAGGATTTAGTGAACTCATCTGAGAAGTCGTCCTCCGCCGAGGGCTCTGCAGTGGACTTACCACCCGTGCAACAACAGGTCACGCACGACAAGTCTCATGTTGTCGATGCTGCGCAGGCAACAACTGCAGGACGTGTCAGCGAACCTTTCACGTCATCACCTCAACTTCCCACGCCAAGGCCGATATCTCAAGCCACCACACAATCACAAACCCAGACACAGTCGCTAGACGATTTCTCCCAGATCACCCCAACACAATGTCGAAGTCAGCCAACCCAAGCTATGGAAAGTCAGCGAATTTCCTTGGAGCAAATTCACGCTATGGGACCTCAGACGGACAGATCCGATATTTTCATCTCCATCCACCCAGAGCACGTCGACGAGATTATCAAGGGCGCCAAGAACCATGAATTCCGCGGCTACCGAATTCCCAACGTTGTCACCCGCATGTGGATTTACGTCACGGCGCCGATTTCCATGTTGAGGTACATGGCCGTGATTTCCAATTTCAAGCAGCCCGGCGAGATTGAGGAGAATGGCCTGGGTAACGCCGAATTCAACACTGGCAAGAAGCAAAATAGCTTTGCCTACGAGCTGCGAGAGGTCTACGAGCTGAATAATCCTGTATCTTTAGCGGAGATGAAAGAGCATGGGTGGGTTGCTGGGCCTCCGCAGAAGTACAATTACGTACCTCCCACGGTGGTAGGGCACCTGATGGCAAATCTGCGTTGCTCTTTATTCGGAGAAGACGAAGATCAAGCTGCCGACTTACCCTTACTCGACGACCTCCCGTCCGAGTTGAGCCCGGTGAAACAGCACCACAAACCGTCGAGTCCCTCCAAATTCACCATCTCCCAGGAGGTCGAGAAGCAGATTCTCAGTGAAGCAACATTGCAAAATACATCAGACCCTGACCTGCTCGTTCCATCGAGCTCAAGCCAGGAACGCCGCCGCGTCTACAATGCAACACCAGCTGCTCCTTCCCTGAAGCTCCCATCCAAACTCCCGCCCACACCCTTCAACCGCCTGCCGAACCCAAAACCGTCGTCTGCAGCGCGGCGCTCCGTCAGGCTCTCGCAGGCCACGACAGCGAGCCAAGCCTCAAGTCCGCCGGCGTCGCCTGCGAAGACTACACGGCAGCGGAGCTCGCGAGCTCCGCTGCCCTCGTCGAGCCTGTCGCTTCTTCCTCTTGATGACATGGACAGTCCCATCCAGCTACCAGCCGGGGAGTTCTCGCTGGAAACGTCGCAACTATTGACGAAAAGCCAGATGTTGCCGGACAGTGTGCTGCGGGATGAAGATCCTATTGAGGATGACGAGGATGTTATATACGAGACGGACTAGAAGTCGTTATCACGCGGCCGTGGGCTGTTTCATGCGTCTTTTCGAAACGACTGCAAGGCGTTGGCTGCTTGAGCAAAAAATTGATACCAAGGGCGCGTGCTTACTGATATTTAATGAAATGATTCCTGCTTGACTGGTCCGTCGAGGCTCGTGATGGTGTTCAAGTGTACTGACTGTGCCCTGAGGCCTGTTGTCATTCATACTGTTACTTCAATTCTTTTATGTGTCTGACAGATTTTACGACCAAGTCATGCCCCTCGCCGGAGACCCAATGCAGAGGATCTCGTCTCCTCTTCTCATGGAAAGCAGGGACGGCGAAATTCATTTTGAATCCAGCTGCAGCCCATTGTTTCCCGTCACTACTCCACATCCCAACATGGTGTTCAGTCCCCAGGATGCGCCGACGCAGCCCAACATGGGTGCTTCAGGAACATCAAAGTCTTGTTGAAGATATGTAGATATACAGCAAGCCCGCGGTTCCCTCCGCGTACTCTACCAGGCAGCAAGCGAACAAATCATCAGCAGCGCCTGCGGCCGGAACAACAGGAAAACATGACACTTTCTACATTCAGGATTTTGCTCCCGGTATCTCTTCTAACTCTAGGGCTCAAAATCCATAGCAACGCCAGCCCTCGCGTCAGTTCTGGTACCCGCAAAGCGTACGGGATCTTCACGTTGAATATCCATGCACATGTGTCCGAGTGGCCGATATGCTGTTTACTCTTCACTCTTGCCAAAATCAGGGAGACTCCAAGCCATATCGAATTCTGATGGGGGCTCGGCAAACCCCATCTCGAAGGTTCAGTGATATGAGATGTTCATGCGCTTCGTGAGAAACTTCAATGGATACATTGCTAGGTTCAAGACGGCACAAGAACAGAAAAACCATCCGGCGTGACTGCACAGGCGTTCAGAAGAGAGACGACTACATCTTGACATTGACCATGCTCACGGCCCGCAAGGCCAGTCGCTGCTTACGGTTGACATTGGTTTTTCCTCAAGGTTTCGTATATTCCGCGCCAGCATTGATTTAAAAAACAATAAAGAGTAGTCATGTCATCACGAGCCCTGGCAAACCGTAACCGTCAAAACCATCCGAACTCCATGCACTTGTCCCACTCATCTCACCGAGCCGAACAATTTTCGTACAAGGTGCCGCCTACCCAAAAGAACACGAGATAGAAATCAGAACATCATCCTCCCGCCGTTCACGGGAATCACGGCTCCCGTCACCCACCTGGCACCCTCGCTCACCAGGAAAGCCACGACGTCCGCTATGTCATCGACGTTCCCGAGCCTCTCTCCAGCTGGTGTGCCTCGCGCCGTTTCCAGCCCCAGGTCCTCGCTGACGCCCTCCTCCTCTCCGTCCTTCACCATGCCCGGACTGACGCAGTTGACCGTGATGCCCCGGCCCATCTCGCCAAACTCCCGCGCCGCAACGCGCGTGAAGGCCTCGACGGCAGCCCTGCTTCCCGCGAGCGCCATGCTGCCGACATCGTCGTCCCTAGCGGCGCTGCCGGACAGGTTGACGACGCGGGCCTCGCGCGCGAGGTACGGGCGCACAGCCTTCATCATGAAGAAGACGGCGCGAGCGTTGGACTCGAAAACGCGGTCGAAGGCCTCGGGGGACGTCGTCTCGAGCGGAGCGGCGAGCTCGGCGCCGGGCCCATTGATAAGGATATCAATATGGGAGACCTGGAAGGCCTTGAGAACGTGCCGCACAACGCGGTCGTGGTCCTTGACGGGGTCGGCCTGGATGGCGGTGGCCGAGGAGCCGGCGGCCTCAACCGAGGCGATGACGGCGTGGGCGCGGGAGACGGAGGTGGCGTGGTCAAACGTAAAGGCGATGCGGGCACCGTCCTGGGCGAGGCGCAGGGCCACGGCGGCGCCGATACCCCGGGCACCGCCGGCAACGAGGACGATCTTGCCGGAGAGGGTCATATCGCCGGCGGAATTTG